GGGAAGCCCCCCAGTCCATCTCAGACCCAGGATTTGTTTCCTTGGGGTCCATCACCTCCCCACGGCAGAAGCGATAACAATCTCCCATCTGTCCCCCCCGCCATGCCTCATCAGTTGTTCCCGTCACAAGCACATCTGGAGGGTCATGGAAGAGTCCTCCGGCAACCTTGAAAGGAGGAGGGACCCCATAGGTGACACTGGAAGAGGCCTGCTGCCACCAGCACCTCTTCCCTTGTGGCATCCTGTGCTGTTCATCTGGAGGGCTCAGTCCCCTCCCTGATATGCCTCGGTCCCTTGTGTTGTTGTGAGATCTGTCTGCATGTGTGCGTTCCTTTTGCGAATGGACTTACAGCTTCCCTCTCACGGGAAGCATGTGTCCCCTGTGGTTAGAAACCACTTGGAAGCATACGTTGTGGTGAGCAGGTCGGTGCATCCCCAGCGAGTATTCAGACTTAGCCTGGATGAGATTATCACCTCGCCTACTATCCAGAGGAAAATAAAACCACCCCAGTGGGTGCCACAGAATTGACGCTGATCTGCAGTGGGACATCTGAACCCCCTTGGCCCATTACCTTATTTTCATTTCCTTTTCCCATGAACTTTTTGAAGCCCTCTTGTATTTGCAAGGACAAAAAAGGAACATGAGACCAGCTACCGAGGCTGCTTATACCTCCTAGGATTTGGTTTCTTGGTTGCGAAGGTTAGGGTCATGGTTTCATGGGACACCCCAGTTAATTGGCCTAATGATGTGGTCCCTGCTTCTGTTCTACTTCCTGGCTGTGACGTGGTGCCTGGGTGCATTTTAAGCATCATGCTTCAGAGCTTCCAAGTGGCTGTCTAAGGTCCAGGGATCACGCTCTATTCTCTTCAGGCACTAGACCAGTGGTTCTCAACGTTCCAAATGCCGTGACCCTTTCATACAGTTCCTCATGTTGTGGTGACCCCCAGCCATACAATTATTTTCATTCATACGTCATAACTGTAATTTTTCTACTGTTATGAATTGGGCAACCCCTGTGAAAGGGTCATTCAACCCCCAGAGGGGTCGCGACCCACAGATTGAGAACCACTGCAATAGAGGAAGAAGGAGAGTCGGCAACAGAAGGACGGAATGAAAGCACCCATGACCACTGTGTGCTTTGCCAGGAGACCAGAAGAACTCCACGGTGCCCCACTGCGACAGTAGAAGAACCTTGATCAAAAGGAAGGGTGTGCAGAATAAGAATTCCAAAATCCCACGGAATCCAGACTTTCTGAAGCCTTGGGAAATCCCAAAACTATTGGCTTGAAATAATTTTTAATCCTTAAAACTTAAACTCAAAATATCCCCTGAGATCTTCTTAAAAACCAATGACAGTTCAGCTTACCTGGTCAAGCATGTTTGCTCTGCGCACTGTGCTCCTTTAAGCTCTAGCTTTATGGGAACAGTTGACAACAGAAGTGCAAAATGAGATAGGAGCCATAGGGAGTTGGACAGTGACTGGAGGGGAAACACCAGTGAGACGGGGTACACAGCTCAGTGGGTGTCATCATGAATGCTGCTGGGTTGCCTGTGTTGAAACTTGAATTTGTGCGTTTTCCTGTGTGTACTCGCAGCGACAATAAAAATGAAATTTTTTTAAAGGCAAATGATTGGAGGCTGAGGGATGAGTAAATGGATAGGTTGGATGGATGGGTAGGTTAGATAAGTGAACGGATGAATAGGTGAATGGGTGGATAGGTGAGTGAGTAAATGGATGGATAGATAGATGGATGAGTGGGTAGATGGATGGATGAATGATGGGTGGGTGGATCAATAGGTGGGCGGATGGATAGAGAGATGAGTGGATGGCTAGGTGGGTGAATGGATGGATGGGTAGGAAGGTGTATAGATGAGTGTATGGATAGTTGATTGGATGGATGATGGATGGTTGGTTCATTCTATGAAATGGGTTGATGAAGAGACTCTTCACCCACCAGGCATAGCTTTCAGTGTGTGGCAGATTCTAAATGCCACCAAACTTCCCACCCTAGTTCATTGGACCTAATGCCCAAAGAGCATGTGGTAGGTCTTTTGTAGACTGTGGAAAGCACCACATTTTCTGACACACTGTGGTGCGGGGTAGGGTGTGCACACGCAGCCTTCCCGCATGCACACATGCATGCATATATACAAAACTACCTGCAGAGGAGACTTAAGTGGTGGGTTCATTCAGCAAGGACAACACCCACAAATAGTGCTCACATTTCTACAATGGGGAAAAAATTAGCCATGTTTTCACAGCGTCTCATGACCTCTGATTATTCCATTAGTTTTCTGAATCATGCATAAAACACTGAGTTCCATGCTGACAGACACTCGTATTGAAACGATTGCCACTGTCAATCCAACCCTTCTCCCCTGGGTAAAATTATTATTTGGAATACAAGCAGAATTGTGTTTTCCCCAAGCCAGCTGAGCATAAATGAGGGTCGTGATTCATAAGGTGACTCTAGCGAGTTTGCAAACATGCAACTTGTGCTGAAGCTGACACACACGAAGCTGGGTTGTGCCTTGCTGGGCTGGTAAGCAGTTTTTCTAGCACCGTGGCCTCCTCAGAACAAGGGGGGCTGTGGAGGACGCAGGCTTCTGAGGAGGAGAATTACTTCACAGAATGCTGATCTGCTAGGAATAAATTCTTCCCGTCAAATCACACCCCTGTCAGTAGCTTTTTGAGAGGGCACATGGTAATTCTGCCTCTTTGCACGCCCCTCTGAGCTCTTGAACTCTTGTCCCATTGGGTTAAACTGTCGGGGGCTGGGTCATCTGGGGTCTTGATTCCACCCTGGAGAGAGGGTGAGGAAAAGTGTATTGGTCTAAAAATATCGCTCTCTGAACTTCTCACCCTGCAAATCGTTCTGATAACCGTGCCTTCTCCTTCTTAGTCCTGAACCTGATTCCTTCTTCCTCTTCTTCTTTAACCCCTTTCTTCCTTGATGCGATTGGCGTCCGTTTAAAGAGAACAAGGAGGTACCGAGCTGAACCTTGGGAGTCAGCGTAGTCGTGGAATGAGGCGCTCCCTGAGTCGGACAAAGCCCCATGAGAGACTCGGGTGGAAGGTGACAAGCCTGGGTTTCCGTGGGGACATTGGACCAGTTATCCCACCTTGCTGGGTGCACATGCATGTTTGAGGTCATAGGCAGTTCTCAGAAGCGAGGCTGCCCCGAGGTCCTAGGCTATCCATCATGCTCCACATCAGGGGAAGCGCCCGTGGATGAGATGCCACTGGTGAATGTGGAATTGTGTGCGGTTGGCAGAGGCCTCATGACAGACGATGATCTTTGCCTGTGCCCTTGGTGAAGCCTTACCCCCAAGGGTAGGTTCGCCCTTGACAATTTCCACACAAATTGCCCGGTGACATTGGTTACTTCCTTCATGACGTGTGAAGGCACCCAGGGGCTCTGTTCTGGTTGTTCCATTTCTCTTGTTCTAGTTCCCCACCACCTTACAGGCTTGTCTTTGCTGAAGAGTACATGTTGACCATTTGGTCCCACAGAGATTTCTCTTTTCCTAAAGGAACACAGTGATAGTCTTTACAACATTTTTATGTATTAATCCGGTCTGTGTTGTTAGCTGAAAGGGAACCTCAGGAGCTGGTTTGGGTGAAACAATGACGCTATCGCAGGCAGTAGTCTCAGAGAGTCCTCCAGCGTCAACCCCGTTAGTTGTTTGTACGGCCAGAGTGCTCCTCGGAAGCAAGGGTGGCAAGACTTCCTCTTATATACTTGGGACACACAGCTAGGAGAGACCAGATCCTGGAGGAGGATGGCATGCTCGGTAAAGAAGAGGGACAGTGAAGGAGAGGCAGGCCCTCGATGAGATGGATGGACACCGTGGTTGCATCGATGGGCTCAAGCACAGGAACGGTTGTGAGGACGGTGCAGGACCGGGCTGTGTTTCGTTGTTGTGCAGACGGTCACTATGGGTCAGAACCAACACCAGTGGCACCTAACAACAACAGGTGTGTGTGTGTGTGTGCAATTCAAGGTTTTCTCCCCTCCTATCAGGGTCTATCTGCTATGTTCCTGATCAGAAGAGCTGGTTGTGGAGGCTGGGCACCATCTAGTTCCTCTGGTCTCCGCGTAGATGAAGTCATGGGTTAGGTGGACTGTGAGTCCTGTAAACGAGTTTCCTCTCTGAGTCTTTGATGTTCTTCATTCTCTTTTGCTCTGGACGAATAGAGCCCAGAGGCTGTGCTGTGATGAATGGGACCCTAAACTGCTGGGTAAATCTCACCAACAAGCCAGTGAAATCTTATCTAAAAACAAAACAAAAAGAATCCTCGGAATTCCAAAACTGTTAAGCCACAGATGCTGTTCACCAAATGAGGATATAGGGCCTAAACCTGATGAACTATACATATTATGCCAGTGGACTCAGATGAGGAGACTCATTTTTGATGTAAACCCAGTCTCTTTGGAGACAGGACTGAGGCGTGTATGTTGCAAATGTGTGGCACGGGCATCCGTGCTTAGATCGAAGAAGCTCTCTTCCTCTCACGCAGACCCTGCAGTGGCTTGGGAGGAGTATGTGGTGGCAGGTGGAGACCCTAGTTGACCCACATTATCTCCCTGAGGTGGAGAGGAGGGGAAGAAGGCAGGTACTGTGCCCTTCCTGGTCAGCCAATGGACTATCGGGCCCTCGACTCCCCTCTCCCGTGGCTGAGAAGACCTGACATGGGGGCTCCGTGCAGAAGTATGCCATGGAAGACTGACTCGTGGCAGCACACTGACCGTGCAGTAGCTTGGCAAGCGAACCAGGAATGGCAGCTCCCAGCAAGCCTGGGGTGGCAGTCATGGCCTGGAAGCCCAGGAACCTGCCCCTGCAGGAAAATGAAAACTGTGTGCATTCCAGGGACACAGAGGGTCCCCATGGAGCCACCAGAGGAAAGCCAGCAAGCCTTGAAATACTGTCCACTGTCAACATTTGGGGCAGAAACCTGGCTGGGGCGCCTCTGATGCTTGTTTTTCCTTGGTTTCAGCTCCTCTCTTCGCCAGCAATCACTCGAGCCGAAGTGGAACAGCTGCCGGGGCCGGGCCACCCCCACACGCTGTCAGTCACCCTTCTCCGGGACATAATGTACAGGGGAGCCCCCACCACCCCCCCTCCCAGTTACCTCCACTCGCAGCTGTGGACGCGGGAACTGAGAGGTAAGGCCATCTGTCTCTCTCTCCTAATGGGTGTTGCCGCCAAGCCTCCCTGCGCGGCGAAGGGATCTGACAGTTGCTGAATTTTATTAATAATCCGATAGTGGGTTGAGTTTTACCCAAAGGTGACATTTTCAAAGTACACACACAAAACGTGCAGAGCAAGTATCTCATTATCTGGTTTATTTTTTGGCGGGGGCTGGGGGGTAGGGGAGGGGGTGGACGCCATAGCCAACGAAGGAAGGGTCTCCAGGCGAGAAAGGCAGTAGAATTTCCCAGGGTCCCCCCTTCGCTCGCTGTGTCTGGGGAACTGGACCTGAAGGGGCTGGGTGCGGAGAAGGAAAAGTGCTCTCCCTGTGTTGGGAGACACTCCATCACCCGGGCCAGCAGGGCCAGCGTGGGGCTGGGGGCTGGTGGGAGGGGGCGGGAGAGGACCCAGCAGAAAGGGGCTGCCCCTGGGAAAGGTCTTCCTGCTTGGGAAGGCCAAGGGTCCGTGGAAAAGGGGCAGACATTCAAGCCGATGGACTGACATAGTGGCTTCCCCAATGGGCTCAGACAGGACAATAGGTGAGAGGCAGGGTCGTACATGGGGTCCTTGTGAGTTGTCACCACCTCAACAGCACCTCCTGCCTCCACTGCTCTCCTGAAGGGCTTCTGGGGAAGAGACTGATCGTCGTCGTTTTACTTGGGAATTCCCTTGATTCCAAGGTCTTTCTCATCCTTCCTTCCAGGGTGTGTTAGTCTGGGTAGACTAGAAAAACAAGTCCACAGAAACTCATATGTATATACAAGAGACTTTTATATAAAAGGCAAGTGTACATAAGAAAGCATCCCAGCCCAGTACTGTCCAAGCCCATGAGTCTGACATTAGCACATATGTCCCACACAAATCCACAAAGTCCTCCTCCCACTCGCAAAACACACACAATGATGCCGACTGCAGGAGGAAAGCCGAATCCATTAGTGTGTAAGCATCTCAGCTCAGGCAGGGTCTCCACTCGGCTTCTCCAGCACCCAGGGCTGCATCGGGGTAGGTCCATGTGGCTTCTCCTCAGGGATGTCTCACACGAAGTGAGCCTTGCCAGCGGAAGCAGGGAACTGACTAAGGCAACTGCACACTGGTTTGACCATCAGAGAATAAGAGACCAGAAAACAAGAAAGGAGAGGCTCACTGAGCCATTTATCTCTCCACCCTTCAATGAATCCCCCCTGTGTTCATCAGCCAGGTTGGCAAAATAATCCTTAACTATCACACCGGGTTTCTCATCCTTCCTTCCATTCCCTCCAAACCAAACACCAAACTCACTGCCGTTAGTCAGTGCCGACTCATGGCGACCCCCTGTGGCTTTCCAAGACGTTAACGGTAACTGTTTCCCAGAGTAGAAAGCCCAGCCTTTCTCCCGCAGAGCTGCTGGTGGTTTTGAACTGCTGACCAGGAGGATCGCAGCCCAACACGACACCATCAGGGGTCCCGGTCCTTTTAAGCTTTCTGATGGCTCACACACCAGAACCGAAGCCCACCCCCCTTGACTCTTGACTCTCTTTGGAGCAGGTCCCAATGAACGTGGACCTGGATTACCCAGGGTGTGACCTTGACCCCCGACCAGGCCCTCTCTCGGGAAGGCGCGACCCTTGTTGTTGGTGATGGGTGCTGTTGAGTCAGTACTGACTCCTAGTGACCCTGTGTACAACAGGGTGACTCCCTGCTCAGTCCGGGGCCACCCTCACCATTGCCCTTAGGGTTGAGCCCACCGAGGCAACTACAGTGTGAGTCCACCCCGTGGAAGGTCTGTCTCCCTCTTGTTCACTGCCCAGCTACTTTACCAAGCAGGCCGTTACAGGCTCGTTATTAAGAGTGAGATACAGTTAGAGTCTCGTGATAGACAAAGGCTGTAGTGACCAGGTGGTGCCCCACTTGGAGCTGGAAGCAGGGACCAGAGGTGAGGAGCACATCCAACCTCAGAGGCAGTTCAAACACCACCAGCTGCTCCACGCGAGAAAGACGGGGCTGTCTACTCCGGTCAAGAGTGACAGTCTTGGAAGCCTATAGGTGCATCTCCACCCTGTCCTCACAGGTCACCGTGCATCTGTATTGACTCAAGGGTGGTAAATTGAATGCACCAAAAGGCTGGGAGTTCAACCCCACTCGTCTCTCGCGAGTCGGCTCCATTGCCGTGAGTTCAGTTTCTTTAAAAGCAGATCAAACACGAGTACCATGGAGGGCCTGCAGCAGGCATTGCTGTGGGCACTTGGCCTGGCAGAGAGATCCAGGTGTGGCAGCCTTGTGGGAGGATGGCAGGGTGGTAAGGTGAATAACCCCGAGGCAGCAAGGAGAGGAAGGGCAGGAGGCAGGTGGGGCTCTCTGAGGAGGGAGAGTGAGGCCCACACTGCTCCGCACCTGTGGCTTTGCCTCGCGACGGGCCCTTCTCAAAGTAGGTGTGCCTGTCCCCATGCCAGCCCAGCTGGGGCCTCCGACATGAGGTTGCTGATCTCTTTGGTTGCGGTGAACAACCATGTTTGCCTTCGTGTCCAGCCTTGAACCCACTTGGAGCAAATGTGCTTACCTTCCGCTTTGGGCTTAGATCCCTACCTTGTGTTTGACTCTGGAACCCTCCCAGGACAAACTCCAGCAGGTTTCTTAGCGGAAGCTGGTTTTATCACCCTTAGCGAGTCACTGGGAAACTGGCCGGTTGTCCTACTTTGCAGGGCATTGATTCATCGTTGACTTAGCTTGAACTTGTTAATTGAGTGGCCTGAGTCACGACCAGCAGGAGCCCCTGTGACACCTCCCCAGCTAGCACCGGGCTCTTTGATCCTTGCTGTCGTAAAACAAAATAAACACCAGTTCTCTCCATTTGAAGAAGTTCCGCTTTTATTTTCAAATATTATCTGGATGGCAGGCGGTTTCTGTGACTGGAAGCAGACCCCCTAGCCCCTCACCTGCTGTTGATTTAAGCTGATGAGGGGAAGTGGTGGTGTCCCACACCCTGGGGAGTGAGCCGGGGTACTTGCTGTTTATAGCAGTGGCTTTCAGGAGAGGAACTTGGCACCCTTGGACATGTTAATTCACTGGGTTTCTCAGTATGCCTGGTAGACCAGAGAAAACAAAAATATTGAAGGGAGTCCATTTGGGGGATGGAGGGATCTTGAGGTCCTTGGAGGAAGTAGCTGGGCTGTGTTGCCCGACATGCCCAGGAGAAGGTCAAGGGCCTCTCCCCACGGCTCGGTTCTGAGTGAGACCTTCAGCCGTGTGCTCAGTGTCCTGCACGGGACGCAGATTACGGGGATTTAGGAACAGACCAAGGGGTCGGAAAAGGCTGGCTGCAGGACAGGGACGTGGTTTCCCTGAAGAATAAATGAGCTAGTCCATGAATCCACGGCAAAGAAGTTAGGCATCCTAATTTTTGGAGAAAGTTGTCTAAGCGCTGGGGCCAAATAAAGCAGGAAGGCCCGTGTCCGGAGTCCCCACTGAGTATTGGAAGTGTCCTGGTGGTGCAGTGGTTAAGCATGGGGCTGCTAACCGAAAAGGTCAGAGGTTGCGCCTATAAGCTCAGGAGAAAGATGTGACTATCATTTGCCGTCAAGGTGGCGGCAGCCTTACAAACCCGAGGGGGCCGTTCCTCCCCGTCCTCTAGGATTGGTCAGCGTTGGCAACAGCTGAGCCGCAGTGGCTGGAGTTGGAGTTAGCTTCATGGGGTGTGGGAAAGTCCCCCTGATTTCCAGGTGTGACATTGGTAGCATCCTGGCTGCTGGCCGCTGCCGCTGACTCCATGCCCAGTGCATCAGACCGAGGCCCGGCCTTGCTCCGTCTCCGTGAGCCATTGCAGGTCAAAGGAGGATGACCCGCAAGGGTTTTCAGAGGCCGATCACCAGGCCTTTCTTCCATCTCAGTGTGACTCTCCACAGACAGATGGGTGGTGGCCGCCTACAAGGTGCATTGACTGGGGACCCAACCTGGGGGGATGTGTTTTCTTGAACCACCGCTACCCTGCTAGCGTTCTAGATGCCCTGACATTCGCAGGTTCTTCCAGGGGCTGTCAGTAACCAACACTGCCCTCAAGGTCTCATTTTAAAAGCCAGCATTGGGAATGTATGATGCTGCTTGTCTGGATACTAAGGAAGTGAGACTGTAAATCACTGTCTATTTAAGATCTTTGCATTTCTGGAAGATTCCTCAGCTCTAGTCAAACCAGCCTGTTGGCTGCCCTCTGGCATGGCTGGTTTCTGCATCTTAATTCCTGTTCTTCCTCTATGCTTTTCCCGTCCTTCCTCTACCTACTTCCTGCCCTTCCTCTACCTACTTCTTGTCCTTCCTCTACCTACTTCCTGCCCTTCCTCTACCTACTTCCTGCCCTTTCTCTACCTACTTCCTGTCCTTCCTCTACCTACTTCCTGTCCTTCCTCTACTTTCTTCCTGTCCTTCCTCTTATGTACTTCCTGTTCTCCTTCATTCTTCCTGTTCTTCCTCTACGCTCTTCTGATGACATTTTTTTTGCCACTCTTGACTAAATGTTACTCAGTTCTTGCTGCCAGCTGAGTTCTCTTCCCAGAAAGCCTCCTCTGACCCTCAGAACTCAGAGCCCTGTCCACTCTCATCTATGTGCCATTACCAGTCTAGGTGCTAGCTCTCTGATTGCAGGCACCTTACATTTCACAAGAATGTAATAAGCTCTCAGAGAGCTGAGGTGTGTTATCAAGTTTGCCACCACATGCCTACCTCGTGAGACCCTGAAGCTTCACATCGAGATGGCTGCTGTCATAAACAAGTGCCGCTGTAAAGTGAGACAAACACTCTGGCTCTCTTGTGTGTGTAAATGTTGCGTTCTCCTGCAGTGATTACAAGCTGGGCTGCTCACTGCAAGGTCAGCAGTTCAAAAGCACCCACTGCTCCTCTGGAGAAAGACTAGGCTTTCTACTCCCATAAAGAGTTCTAGAAACCCACAGGGGCAGTTTTACCCTATCCGATAGGGTCACTATGAGTCAGCATCAACTAGCTGGTGTTG